CGGAGGCGGGGCAGGTGGGCGGGGCCCTGCGCCAATGCTGGAGGAGGAGGCTTGAGTGGGCAGGTGGATGTGGAGAGTGCTTTGGCTGTCTTGATGCTCCCCAGAGCTCTCCAGGCAGCCTCCAAAATTACTTGTATCTCAGTACTGTACTGGAAGTGCCTCTGAATATCCCAGAACTCCTGGTGGTAGACTCCACGGCTATGTAACAATACTGCATTAATCCAGCCTGGCCAACATGGTGAAAATTAGCCGGGCATGGTGGTGCACGCCTGTAATACCAGCGACTCAGGAGGCTGAGGCAGGAGAATCGCTTGAACCCAGGAGGCGGAGGTTGCAGGGAGCCGAGCTGACGCCACTGCACTCCAGTCTGGGTGACAGAGAGAGACTCCGTCTCAAAAAACAAAGAAACAAAACAAAACAAAAACTGCACTATTGCTTCACCAATACTCAAGAATTCTATAGCAATATCCCAAGGATGCCTCCAGAACGTTCCAGCAAGTACTGTTCCTGGACCACTTCAGAGTAACACTCTAGAATAACACGCAGAGTAACACTCTAGAATTGCCCCAGAGATATTCCAGAATTCTCTAATGCTCACAGAATTACCTAGCACAACCCTCTGTCATTGTGATGCTCTAATAATAGTATTTTCTCCCCACCTGGGCCCTCTCCAATTTGGGAGGGTTTCTCAGCAAAGAGGAATAATAGGGCCAATAATGCTATTTCACAGATGGACTCTGCTCTGTAAGAGATAATAGTGGTTGCCCACAACTCATAATTCATAGCAAACTAAGGGCAATGTGTATAGGTGAGAAAGCTGAGGCACAGAGAGTCAGAGCCTTGCCCATGATCACACAGTCGATGCAAGGCAGGCGAGCCCCCAAATTGAGGCTTAGTCCAGTAGGATTTTTGGTTTCCCTCAGCAAAGGATTTAAGGGCCAGCTGGTGTTAGCAGCTTTCATTGACGCGGCAGTGCACAGCAGCAGCAGAGACCCCGCTCCTTGCCGAGCAGGGCTACCCCATAGGCAGTGTGCCCAGAGTAGCAGCTCAGAGACAGGTCTGCAGTCGTAATTCTATTTACTTTCAAGTATATGCAAATTAGGGGACAGATGATGCAGATATTTTAAGAACTAGAATGGTAATTTTTGGGTTGTCTGTGTTGCCATGGAAAGGTAACTCCAGGTGTTGCCACGGCAATGGTAAACTGACATGGCACACGGGTGGGCGTATCTCATGGAGAGGCACTCCCACCCCATCCCTGTTTCAGCTAGTCCTCAATTTGGTCCGGTATCTGAGCCCCACCTCCCGAGTCGAGTGAGCCCCCACCCCGCCCCATTTCCCCCTCAGAGATTAGTTTGTTTTTTTGTTTGTTTTTTTTTTGAGACAGAGTCTCGCTCTGTTGCCCAGGTTGGAGTGCAGTGGCGTGATCTTGGCTCACTGCAAGCTCCGCCTCCCGAGTTCATTCCATTCTCCTGCCTCAGCCTCCTGAGTAGCTGGGACTACAGGCACCCGCCACCTCGCCCGTCTAATTTTTTGTATTTGTAGTAGAGACAGGGTTTCACCGTGTTAGCCAGGATGGTCTCGATCTCCTGACCTCATGATCTGCCCGCCTCAGCCTGCCAAAGTGCTGGGATTACAGGCGTGATCCACTACGCCCAGCCTGAGATTAGTTGTCTTTTTGTTTTTTTAACTTTAAGAGGGGCTGTAGAAGGGCAGAAGTCTGTCTCAGTGAGCCCTGACAGAGCTCCTGCTAACCCTGGTCATGGCCCTTGCCCTGCTAGCCTTGTTTTCTCTGTAAGAGGGGGATAATGGCCCGGGCACGGTGGCCCACGCCTGTAATCCCAGCACTTTGGGAGGCTGAGATGGGCGGATCGCCTGAGGTCAGAAGACCAGCCTGGCCAGCATGGTGAAACTCTGTCTCTACTAAAAAAATACAAAAGTTAGCCAGGCGTGGTGGCGGGCACCTGTAATCCCAGCTATTTGGGAAGCTGAGGCAGGGGAATCGCTTGAACCTGGGAGGCAGAGGTTGCAGCGAGCCGAGATTGCAGCATTGCACTCCAGCCTGGGCAACAAGAGTGAAACTCCGTCTCAATAAAAAGAAAAGAGGAGGATAAAGGGAACTCAGGACTGTGTATAGTCCTCCCTGATGGGCAAGGCCTTCTGTACTCCATGTCTGTTGGACACAGTGGGCTTCTGATGAGAACATGGGACATTGGAAAGAAATGAAAGCGTGTCTGTGAGAGCCCTGTATAAACTGAAGTGTACACCTCACAGCACAAGCGAATTACGACTATCAAAGTGGGGACAGGCCTCCTTAGACCCCCACTACGGCTAGGCTACCAGACCTGGAAGTAACATCTATTCTCTCCTCCAGGGAGACCCTCCTATCCTCCCCTGACAGCCCATGGCTGACCAGGGACCAGAATCTCAGCCTCTGACCCTGCCCCTTCTCTCCTGCCCTAGTCCTGGGTCCCCCAACGCTCACAGCACTGCCATCCTCGGCCACAAGACAGGACTGGGCTTGGCACACAGATCCATCCGGTAAAGAGCTCAGCCCTCCAGGCTGGAATGTTAGGGGCACGGTGGGTGCGGCTGGGAACTGGGAAGAATGTTCTGGATCCACAGGCGGGGGCCCTGGCTAACAGGCCAGGGCTTTGGCCAGATGGTGCAGAGGTGGGTGAGAGAATTATGAGCAGACGGAGCAAGGATGATGAAACTCAGAGCTCTGAAAACTTCAGCGGGGTGGGAGGAGGCAGTAAGAGATTTCTTCAAAGCACAGAAGTAAAATTTGGGATGTGGGTGGTGGCTCACTCCTGTAATCCCAGCACTTTGGGAAACAGGCGGGAGGATCGGTTGAGGTCAGCTGAAGACCATCCTGGGCAACGCAGCTAGACCCTGTCTCTAAATACATGTATATGTATTTAAATTGCCAGGCATAGTGGCTCACGCCTGTAATCCCAGCACTCTGGGAGGCTGAAGCAGGTGGATCACTTGAGGTTGGAGTTTGAGACCAGCCTGGCCAACATGGTGAAATCCCATCTCTACTACAAATACAAAAATTAAAAAGAAATAAATAAAAATACAAAAATTAGCCGGGCGCCTGTAATCCCAGATACTTGGAAGACTGAGGCAGGAGAATCGCTTGAGCCTGGCAGGCAGAGGTTGCAGAGAGCCCAGATTGCACCACTGCACTGCAGTTTGGGCGACATAGCGAGACTCTGTATCAAAATAAATAAATAAATAAATAAATAAATAAATAAATAAATAAATAAAACTAGCTGGGCATCGTGGCTTGTGCCAGTCCTAGCACTTTGGAAAACTGAGGCAGGAGGATCGCTTGAGGCCAGGAGTTCTAGGCTGCA